ACAAGGCGTTGAAGGCAAGTTTTTGCAAAAGGCAACAGCGCACACTAGCGGATGCGCGCTTGGAGAAGGGTGAGTGAAAGATTTGAACAATCGAATATTCCTATTAATAATGTTTTATGCAAATGTTTTATCAAAATTGACCAATGAGTCATTCAAAGAGAGAATCTGAATCTTTATTATCGATAATTATGTAATTTATCATGAACAAATATGGCTATTATAAAACACAAATCTTTGTGGCTTATGGTTTCAGTGTTTGATTGATTTCCAATTCGAATTCTTTATTGTATTATTATTGTTATTATCATTATTATTAAGTTATTATTAAGTCATTACAAACGTACCACCACCAGTCTACAACAATGTGATTTCTAGATATTAGGCCTATAGAACAAAATGTGCACTGTTTTTTATAAGAATCACCTAATGGAACCTAAAATGTACTTTAGTAATACATTGAGCTCAAGGTAGCCTGTAATTAGTGTTATGGCCGCTGATCTGATGAGCGATTGCAACCCACACACCTTTCCAAACGAAATTACATGTGTCAGTCCAAACGTGTGACGTTTTCACACTTTTGAATAGCTTAATTTAATCAGTGGTGTATTTAAGGCTACAGTTGCGTACTGCACTGTTTGTTTAACTGATAAAAAAGGGGTGTAGTCGCACGAGATAGATAATTGGGGACCAGGGTGGAATGCGCCTGCGGTGGCCGGGTTCCGATCCTCTTGACTAGAATCAACACACCGCAGAGTGAGACTGTGCGCGACTTCACCGGCCAGTCTACACGGATAGAATGCCCGCTGTCGAATTTATGTTTATTGGCGAAGCTTAGGCTGAGAACATAAGATACATTCAAACGAAAGATGAACGAACGGTTAAGGAGGAATAACAAAAGCTTTAAATAAACATGTTATAAAGTAACGGATGCCTGTGCTTACAGAGCGCTAATGTAAGACTAAAACAAGTTCCTCTTAATTGTACGAGCCTACGCATGTAAAGTGAACTACTAAAAAGTGAAACCTATATAGACATTTAGCTCTTTTACCTTCCCAGAAAACACAATAGGAAGTGTAATGGAATAGTGTCAGGATTCCAGATCATATCCTGCTTTCCGGAGAAGAGAGGAAGCGGCAAGTTCCTCAGTCTTAAAAATATCCCCCTTACCTTGCTAAAATAAGCCGTAAACAATCGGTAAAGATTGCTCTGCGCCTTTCCTGGGTAGGCTATCAGTCAGCAAGTCTAGCAAGGAATCGGAAAATACACACAAACTCTCTTCAACACATTGGCTAAGTTTCTCAATAGTGCACTTTTAAACATATTCAGCTTCAAGGAAAAAACAGTTGTAAGACAGAAAATGTGACTGTTTTGTTATTAGGCCTACGCAAATCGCTATGGATAAGAGCGTCTGCTAAATGACTAAAATGTCAAATGTAATAATAATTAAATACGTCCATTGTGAATTAGGCCTGAGGTGAAAGGTATTATGATATAATAATAATAATAATAATAATAATAATAATAATAATAATACATTTGATGCCAGGAATTATGTCTCCTTAAAATAGCAAAAAGTAAAACACCAGATGGTCCAATAAAGTAGGCATATTTCAAGAATCATATTATTATTATTATTATTATTATTATTATTATTATTATTATTATTATTATCATTTAGGGGCAGTTTCCCGGAACACAGATTAAGCCTTGTCCAAGACTGAAAAGCCCTTTCAACGGAGATTCTCCATTGAGTTTGCTTTTTATTCCAGGACTTTTCCTGGGAAACCGCCCCATATCGTTTTGCTTGAAATAAGCCCTCTCTAATCGAGAACTATAGGCCTACTTTCAAACTTTCCATCTCCAATCAGCCTTGAATTGCTGAACTAGGCGATACAAAGTCTGCGAAAACACTAGGCCTAAAGCATAGCGTTGTTAAAAGAGTAAAAAATCACAGACGTGTGTGAAATTGTTCAATATATTTATCTTAGCTTCTATAAAAACTATACATGGTTTAAATTGAATGTAATGTGTGGCTATCATCGAGGGTGTCGGTGTGCAGTAGCCTAGCCTACATTGCTGGAAAACCTTTTTGGCAAAGTAATTTAGGCAGCAAATAGACTGCAATTAAAAATGGTTGTCCTTTGTGTTGCTTTTATCATTATAGGCTATTGTACTGCAGCCTACTTCAAACAAAAAAATTAATAGACTTGATGTGGCTAAACTTTCAATTTTATTCTCACTTGAAAGGCCCGCTAACCAGCGGGACTGAGTTATCATGGTCGGAACTCTTGTTTATTCAATTGCTCGTCTTTCGTGTTACCAACATAACACGGAGAACATTTCAGTTCTATGGGTGGGTGTCCTGAGCCTTTAACTTGATCAAACGGCGTCCTGCTGAACTCGCTATGCATGCACCCCTGTCGCTGAAAATACAGAAAACACATTTGCCATTAAAATGACCTATACTATAATGTTCCAAAGTTTTCCCCGACCTAATGGTTCGTTTCAGCGCTGATGGGCACTTTCAGATATGTGTTACAATGGTGTCATATTTGTCTTGGCACTTCGTTTCTGTGTGCGTGTTCGAGAGAGAGAGAACATCACTGTCGCCTTTTACCCTGGTTGGCTTTAAAAGTCGAGGTTCCAGCACGGTGGTGGTTACTCGCGGATGGACGGTCGCTCTCACGTCCACGATTTGGCAAGTCAAACATTTCAGTTGAACGTTGTGGCACGACGTCCTGTGTGTGATGCACCTGGAAGTTCGGTGACTGAGACTCCAGTCAGCTCCGGTCTTCCAAAGAAGTCGCTGAGTAATTACAACCACATGGGCGCAAATTATGGATTAATTCAAAGGTGTGAGGAACAATACTTACCAAAAGCCCACAGGAGAAGTGAGAGACATCGAGGAGACATGCAATTCATAAATCTAATCATGATTTTCAATTTACTTCACAGCTAAGAGCAACTGTCCAATTACACAAACGAATTTAAATCATTCAAAATTCCTTATATTAAGCAAACCAGACGGCACCATTTTCTTGTTTTTTTATTTTTATTGACGGATAGCGAGGGGTACACTCCAACATAATTTATAAACGAAGCATTTGTGTTTAGTGAGTCCACCAGATCAGAGGCAGGCAGGAGGACCAGGGATGTTCTCTTGATTAAGTGCGTGAAATTGACAATTTTCCTGTCCTGCTAAGCACTCAAAACCTAATAAGTACTTTTGGGTGTCATGGAAAATGTATGGAGTAAAAAGTATTTTATTTTATTTAGAAATGTAGTGAAGTAAAAGTAAAAGTTGCCCAAAATATAAAGCACAGAGACCCCCAAAAACGACTTAAGTACTTTACACCACATAAATGAGAAAGGTAGACGGTTACAAACGGTTAAAAACTGTAAAAAGGGTTACACAACTGTGATCCAGTTCAAAACTGAAAATCCACTGGAATGTGGCTCATGGGGGAAAATTCTATAAGAAAAGCCATGAGAAAATAGTGATGCATTAGCTAGGTTTCCATCCAATTGGCGACAGATTTTCATGCAAATATTCTAAAATCCGCATAAAGAAAATATGCAAATGCTCCCACCGAATGGACTTGTTGGCGATACAAATCAGTGCATGATGACATAGTGCACACTTTTTCGCTTAAGTTTTCATGTACCAATTATAATTTTTTTTTTTAAACTTTAATTTTTTTTCACAAAAACTGTTGCTTTAAACAGCAAATGTGCATACTCTGGTCTCGGCAAGAGCGCTCTTTCAAGATCACGGTACACTTTCACCACTCGGTGATGGAACAGAGGTCTGGGACTGTCTACTTCGGAGCACAATTCACTCAGATTGCACAGTAAGAGTTCAGTAAATGATGCGCGGGTAGTCTAGTCTACGTGAGATCATCACGTATAAGAGCAAGCATATTTGTATTTGTCAAACGGCAGTCAAGCATCGATCATATCACCAGAGTATGAAAAATGTATGCACTCACTAACTGTAAGTCGCTCTGGATAACAGCGTCTGCTAAAATGACTAAAATGTAAAAAACACCTTCAATATCTATTGGAAATGCGCATCAAGATCACCGTGCACTTTCACCACTCGGTGACGTTAATCATAACTTATTTAATCAGTAGCCTAATAAACTGCTTGATTTCCCGAGGCTTAGTGAGAGGACCACACACACCATATCATCGTGTGACTCCAAGTTTGCTTTGATATGATGGTTATTATATCATTATTGGGCATAAAGGCGTTTCCACCATCATTTCCGCTAACTACGCTGGCCATTTCTCGCATTATACATTTTACCGACACAAAAATATCACACTTTGTCAAATGAACAAATGTCAGCATTTATAAAATTGTACCGAAACGTCCTATTTCCATCACAGCAGTACCAATATTTTTTTAATATGGACGTCCTATTTCCATCACAGCAGTACGATTATTTTTTAAATATGGACTTTTTTAATATGGATGGAAATGTGGTTATTGGCTGTTTACACATGCAGCCCAATTCGGATATTCTGCCCATAATTGGTATTTTGACCATTCAGATCAGATATTTTGGCAACAATTGGGCCACTGAAAAATAACTATTGACTGGAAGACACAATCCGAGACAGTTGTATGCATTCAATGGATTTATTGGTAAACTGTTCAGTCCCCATTAACAAGTCGGGGAAATTACCACAAGACAAATTTCACTTACTCAAGAAGTCCCTTACCCCTACCAGAGGTCAGCCAGTCAGACCTACTGTTAGTCAGTCTCTCTCTCTCACACACGCACACACACACACACACACACACACACACACGCACACACACGCTATCCTGGCCAGACCTAAACATGTAGCTAGTCAATCTTACCTGGACTTGGACATCCTTTAGGAACCAATAGTGAGTTGAAGGGGACCCTAACAGGGGGAGGTTAATACACTACACCAAAACTAAAGGAACATTGGTCTGGGACTGTCTACTTTGGAGCACAATTCACTCAGATTGCACAGTAAGAGTTCAGTAAATGATGCAAGATTATAAATCCCTTGCTGTTTGGATTCATTTCACATATTATCGCACAGGAGTATGACACCACATGACGGAGACTCTTAATATTACATCATACAGGAAATGTCTCTCGTCTCCTGCCCCCCCACTCCCCTGTCCTGACCACGGATGAGACTCGTATCCTGTTCCAACCCTGCAACGCCACCCAGACCCGCTCTTTGGGCAGATTGGGAATTGGCCTGGGTTCCCCTGTGCAGCAGTGGGTCTTCGTTGACGTTTGGTTTTTCTATTTGCCGCTACTCTACCGAGGAGAAACGTGAGGCAAAATAAAATCTGAGCGGATGTGAGGTGTAAGGAGGTTGAAGACTAACCTGTCAGCTAGAGCAGAGGTGATCGTGCTTTACTGAGTTTAGGTTAGCCCTGGCTGCAGCTTCAGCTTTCTACATTAGACCCACGGCACAGGAAAACCTAGGCCAATTCCTAAACCACACACTGTTTTAATAAGCTTCAACTGGACACACTTATCAACGTTATGAGTTTTTATCCTAGTTTGCTTACTGTAAAAAAAGAAAAAAAAGAAACAGAGGGCATTCAACCGCTCGTGGACCAAAGAAAGAGGAGGACCAAGTAGTGACAGCTTTGTACATGACAGATCAAACCCTTAAAAATTCAAATAAAACCACAAAAAAAAAAGCACAAACAATAGTCATTGGGTGGGGGGTGGAGCGGTCAAGCGACTAGACGGGTGTTTGGCTTGGTTGGGAAAGATCTGTAGAGCAGGGCGGTGTGTGTTAAGACAGGACAGCGCTGGTGTGGGCTACCCTTCCTTCAGCCTTCCACACTAACACACAGATAGCGTTCCAGAGAGGAGGAGGAGGAGAGGAGAGATTCATTCGGTGGCCTTGAGGGAGAAGGAGAGCTTGGGCCGGGACTTTCCCTTGCCCAGGATCATTTTCTGTTCCTCCTTCTGTTGCCGCTGGCGATCCTGGTCCAGCTTCATCCTCTCCTCGTGAATCTTTCTCTGCTCCTCTACGATACGCAACTGCTCCTCAGCCTGGTGACACACACACACACAACAGGGTCAGTTCAGGATAGAGATCCTGCAGTGCCAAAATGCCCACAAAACTGTTCATGTTTTCTGAGCCCTGCCAAGATTATTACTAGAATCTGTTCGTTTTTTTGTTGTTGTTACTTTTAACCTTGTTTACTACAATCTTGGCTTGTCCATGTCACATCCAAATTAAATAAATCCATCTTACAAATGAGTCAAGTTTCAGAAACAGAAAATAAACAGGCGAAGGAAAAACACTTATTGTTAATGGCTCCTGATAACCATCAATACAAAGCCTGTGCCAGCATGCATTACCGTTCTGTACTAGAGTAGCGTTTCTCACAGAAGCCCTGGGAATCTACGTTAACACCCTCAATGTCATAACAAAAAATGCATCAAAGCTACGGTGACCACGTATTTCAATATCAAGACGACCATATTTCATCATAGAATAGCCCTGTTTGCATTTAGGGGTTTGGGAAAGTAGCCAAATGTGTATTTTTCTCTTTGAACAGAACAGAGGAGGAAAACAGAGGAGGTGGTGTACCAGCTTGGCCTGAGCGTCAGCGATCTTGCGGTTATTCTCCTCCAGGATTTTCTCCAGCTCGTCCCGTTTGGATCTTTCTTCCTCCTAAAGACACAATGCCATATTAGCACAGGCTACGGCCGCACGACATCCCAAACACACACACACACACACACATATACCCACACTCCCAAACACACACCCACGTACACATGATTGGCCTCTCTTAACACACACACACGTTGGCACAGTCACTCGTCTTCATCCTAACACAAAGGAGTGCGCTCAGCCTCTCCCATCACAACCACACTATCCCATAAGTTCTCTCTGTCAAGCAGAATGCTTTTAGAACACAGAAGCACTAAATATATCAAAGGGAAAAAGAAGCCCCCTTTTCCCCCCCCTCTCCCGCTATTCGTGACAAAACCCGCCCATATAGGAACCACTTAACACTTATAGCCTTCACTGGATTATTAAAGACATTAAAAAATAGAATATAAAAAGGGGAAACCCACTCATCACACTTATGTAGTAGATATCAAAACAGATAAAAAGACAAAACAAACTTTGCTTTCTTATCAAGCAAGAGAAGAAGGATAAAAAAAAAAAGGAGTGAATAGTTTTGCCTCACCAATGCACGTATACCTACGCATTTTCCTTGCCTGTGTACCTACACAACTGGTGAAAGCATTCGGCATTAAAACGGTTGAATATGTACTGTCTCGTCCAGACTGTGTCCCCTGCAGAGACAGAAACGCTCCTGGGAAGGGGGGAGAGGGCGGCCCGCCTGTGGCCTTCCTCTTTAAATCTGATCTGTTGTACCGCTAGCCTGCAGCACTCTTTAAAGCCACTCTCTCTCTGGCTCAGTTCACATGGAGACAACATACCGCAGCAGTAGAATACAGCACAGTGTGGAGGAGGGCTGAACACAGCACATGAGCTTGGAGCTTTCTGCAGGCCAGTTCAGGTCAAATGGTGTTAAAGACAGGTGGTGTTAACACAAGTTGGGTCCAAAATCCAAATGAAATAAATGAACAAAAATAAAACAAAAAACACCCCTAAAGAGAAGCAAGTCATGGGGACGTCAAATAAAGAGAACATTTGCTGTGGTTGTTTGTTTTCTTTAAAAACATTTTTAAAAAATGATTAAATAAAAAGTATCATTAACAGACAGAATTAGAGCAGAGATTGTTGACCTTGCAAACAGGAAACGAGGTCCTTCATTTGTTACATGATGTATCCCAGAGCAGATGCCTTCTAAATGGGAGCTATTCAAAACATGGGTTAGGAGGGGAGGATGATAAGGTCAACTTTATTGGACACACTAAACAAAATTGTGTATGTAATCATAGCCTAATAAAACTAAATGTATTCAAAAACAGAAAGTGGTGTCTTATTAACTCCTAGGGGAAAGGAGTGGAGTGGCAGGTCTCCTGGGGGGGTTGTTGGGGACACATTTCTCATCCGATTAGTACTGAGCCACTGGCCGATCCCTGTGCGAGTCAGGGTCGCTGGGCATTGGCTGCGCCGCTCATTCACAAAGCATTATTACTGTACTATACACAAACCTGGCCCTCATTAATGAAGCCTGGGGGGGGGGGGGGGGGGTTGCTAGCTTCACCAACATATTGTCTATGCCCAGCCTCTGTCTACTGAGAGGACAATAAACCAAATTAGTCGCTAGAACTACTATGAAATAAACTAGGGGGTGTAACGGTTCACCAAAACACACGGTTCGGTACGTATTGTCGTTTTGGGGGTCACTGTTCGGTACGTATTGTCGTTTTGGGGGTCACTGTTCGGTACGTATTGTCGTTTTGGGGGTCACGGTTTGGTACGTATTGTCGTTTTGGGGGTCACGGTTTGGTACGTATTGTCGTTTTGGGGGTCACGGTTTGGTACGTATTGTCGTTTTGGGGGTCACGGTTTGGTACGTATTGTCGTTTTTGGGTCACGGTTTGGTACGTATTGTCGTTTTTGGGTCACGGTTTGGTACGTATTGTCGTTTTTGGGTCACGGTTTGGTACGTATTGTCGTTTTGGGGGTCACGGTTCGGTACGTATTGTCGTTTTGGGGTCACGGTTCGGTACGTATTGTCGTTTTGGGGTCACGGTTCGTTTCGGTACAGTGGGAAAATGAAATGCCAAGAGTTAGTGGTGATTTGTATTTAAGAAAATAGTGCTGGTATTTCTGATGCCATATACAGTGCAATGAAAAAGTATTTGCCCCCTTTCTGATTTTTGATACTGAATGTTATCAGATCTTCAACTGAAACCTAATATTAGATAAAGGGAACCTGAGTTAACAAATAACAATTACATACTTATTTCATTAACAAAGTTATGAAACACCCAATGCCCGTGTGAAAAAGTAATTGCCCCCAGGCACTCCATAACTGGTTGTGCCACCTTTAGCTGCAATGACTGCACCCAAATGCTTTCTGTAGTTGTCGATCAGTCTCTCACATCGCTGTGGAGGAATTTTGGCCCACTCTTGCATGCAGAACTGCTTTAACTCAGCGACATTTGTGGGTTTTCAAGCATGAACTGCTTGTTTCAAGTCCTGCCACAACATCTCAATTGGGATTAGGTCTAGACCTTGACTAGGCCATTCCAAAACATCAAATTTGTTGCTTTTTAACCATTTTCATGTAGACTTGATTGTGTGTTTTGGATCATTGTCTTGCTGCATGACCCAGCTGCGCTTCAGCTTACAGACGGATGTCCCGGCATTCTCCTGTATAATTATCTGATACAGAGCGGAATTCATGATTCCTTCTATTAAGTCAAGTCGTCCAGGTCCTGAGGCAGAAAAGTCCCCAGACCATCACACTACCACCACCATGCTTGACCGTTGGTATGAGGTTCTTACTGTGGAATGAAGTGTTTGGTTTTCGCCAGGCATAATGAGACCCACGTTGTCAAAGGTTCAGTACAAATACATGTACCGTTACACCCCTAAAATAAGCTATTGGGCTAAAAGGGACTGATTTGTAACTAATAAAGCCAAAGCTTCTCCATCCCTATGTGTTTCTCGGTGGGTCGTGGGACGGGCAAACCGGTGTTCGCTGCATGCCTGGGGCAATAAAAATGTTCACTGAATGTTGGACACAAACAGAGACAGTTACTGATAATGAAATGTCAATTTGAAAAGAGCTCTTTATTACAGATTTAAAAAAGGAGATATTTACAATAATGAAAGTAGAAGTTATGAATAATTCTGAATAGGAATGTATGAATGGGGAGAATGACGGGATGAAGTCAGTAAATTGTCATAACTCGGCCATGGCAAAAGTCTCAACTGAATCCTGCGTGTCTTCCTTTTGACTGTCCACTGCCAAATATCGGCCATTTAACTTCCCCACTTAGAAACACTCAGTCTACCACCCCTAAAGCACAGCGCTCTAACCCTTCCCACCTATCCTGAGCCTCAGCTGCCCTGTCCTACCCTCTCACCCTCCCCAGAGCAGAGAAACTTGTGCCATGGCCAGTTCGGGGAAGGGGGGGGGGTTGGGCAGTAGTGGGAATGGTTAGAGGAGATGGGGGGTGCCTGCATTCCCAACGACCGAGCGTTACCTCTCTGGCCTTCTGGGCCTGCAGCTCTGTCTGCCTCTGTCTCTCCAGTTCCTCCAACAGCTGACGTTCCATGATGCGCTTGGCCTCCTCCACGCGCCGCAGAACCTCCCTCTCTATCTCGTCCCTGCGCTTCTCCAGCTCCTCCTCCACCCGCTTGGCCACCAGCTCCTCCACGCGACGCGCCGTCTCCTCCTCGATCAGCTTCTCCTCTATCTCCACCTGACGGCTGCACGGCAGGGGTGGCGAGAGAAAGAGGGGAGGGTTGCTGACATGGTAGCACAAGTGACATGATACGATCAATGCATATTCAGGTAAGGTTGAATCAATGTAACTTAAAAGGTCAGACATTGCTACAGGAACAAATCAAATCAAATTTTATTTGGGTCACATGCACATATTTAGCAAATGTTATTGCGGGTGTAGCAAAATGCTTGTGTTCCTATCTCCAAACTCTGGGAATTGTGCATTTGTTTGTTTATCAGGGTTATAAAGCTACTTTTATGTTAAAAAAAAAAAGGTGTTTCAGTGATTTGGGGAATTGCAGCACATGGCATTATGACATATGTACTAAACATGCAACGTGTGTGGGGAAACAGATTTGCCCCATTGACTACAGACGACAGGGGCACTGGACAACAGGAGATGAGGTGGTCCTGATGTGACATGACATGACCCCCCTTTGGTGGTTGGAAGTGAGCTTGTCCAGATCAGCAGAGAACTGGGGGGGTAAATGTAGGTGTGGGTCAGTCCTAACTGCATGCCCGGGGGGAGTCAGGTCGCGCACACGAACACAAGGTAGGCGTCCTGTTTACTGTTCAAACACATTTTAAACTGTTTCAGCTGCCCTATCAACAGGACGTGATTATCGGAGTCGTTGTCACATTGCTTCAGGCACGACTTAAAACACAACACTGTCCTTCTCTCTGATTTCATTTGGTTTGGTTACACATAACCAGGAAACCAGGATCCTTCCTTATCTGGTGTGCGTGTCTTTATTGGACATTGTGTGGCTGGTTAAGTGGCCCTGTGGCTGGGCAGTAAACACAGCAGACCAGGTGTAGTTCACGTGTTGTAGGTATCAGGTGTCATCAGCCTCTAGCCAAAATGTGCACAACAACAAGTTTACCCCATGTCTTTCTTTCTCTGTCAGACCAATATCATCTAACTACAAATAATGGACGGGCATTATGCGAGGTGCTCGCTGAAGCAGGAAAGTCTAGCACATTTTTCTTCCCTTGAATTGCACTATAAATTGTGACGCCTCAGGGTTTTGCAATGTGCAACGAGCATGGATAATGCAGTAAGAAAGGAATGTTGTTCTGAAGCAGATAAAACAGAGGTAACTGTGCCTCTGGTTGATCCTACGGCTTATTATAAGTCATTCGCCCAGAATGCTAATTTTGACTGCCATAAGTAAATATTATAGTGGCAGGGGCCAGATGAACATCCTGTGGTTTGACTTCAGTGGTTGAGAACCAGAGGGGCATAGCTACCTGATTTTTTATTTATTTCACAGGTGAGCAACTTAATGTAGTTTTTAATTCCCTCCCTCCCTTTTAAACAGTTTACCAGTGACAAGACCTATATCATGCATGTCTATTTCGTTGACTACATTTGGCCATAATGTCTCACATAAGCCACAGCTTGGAGGGATGTTGTTGACAATCTTTTTGAGGACACGTAACTAGGCTACTAGGCTAGCAAGATAAACCACCGTAGGCCATAAACATGACACTAGGTCGTTGATTTGTGATGCATGACAAACAAATTGCCAACCAGATTGCCACCTACGCACAACTGTACAACTATACATGTGCATAATAAAATGATTTTAAATGTATACATTCCATTAGACTAGAGACAAATGAATTGCAGCCAAGTGACTTAGCTAGTTAGCCGGTTGTCTAACGTTGTAGGCTTGTATAGCTGACTTGGGCCTCCTCAAGACACGTAGCTTAGTAGGCAGCTAGCTAGCTTGCTAGCGCGTATGCCTGTTAGCATTCTAGCTAACTAACGCATGTAGCCAGAGAATATAAGCACCAATATCATTTGGTATTAGCAAACGAACTAGCAAACGCGTCTCGCATTATGGCAAAAAAATATTGAGTTTCGACTTACATCTTTCTCTGTCTTTCCATTTCGGCCTTCTTCTCCTCCTCCTCCTTTCTCTGTTTTTCGTCCAGGGCGCTTCTCTTGCTCAGTGTCCTGCCGAATATGTCAATTCTCTCCGGCGGTGTGACCGCTCTCTCCCTTTCCCTACGGGTCGAGGCTGTGGCTGACCGGGAACGAGAACGCGACTCTCTGCGCCGGTTTCTCTTCGCTTCACGGGACTTGGATCGTTTCTTGGCCCTCTCCTTGTCCCTCGAACGCGACCGGCTCCGTTTTTTGCTGTGCTTGCTGCTTTTGGAGTGTTTGGAACGGGACGAACTGCGACTCCTCGAACGACCCATGATCACCTCAAGTCGGACGGTTCCCAGTTAGCTAGTTCTACAGTCGGAAATACTCCAACAAATAGCACGGCGTTCCACCTACACACTCTTACACCTCACTACCTGCGATATTTGCACAAAAAATGAATTGTTAAAACACTCGTATGTCTCAAATATATTCATTCGAACGTGGTTATCATTCTGCCCTGATAACTTGCGGCGCTAAAGCAAAATGGCGACTAGCTCCTTTTTCCCACAATGCAATGCATTCGGTATTTTCCGACTATCTCCGGATTGAGCTCGTGCCTGCCTCTCCTGTGCTGAGTTGATGAACTCATCTGTGCTAAACGCAGCGTGATGGACATTAATAAATGGTTAATAAATAGTTGGTTCCGCTGGTGTACAGAAATCTTTGAGTCATACCACAGATTCTCAATTGGATTGAGGTCTGGGCTTTGACTTGGCCATTCCAAGACATTGAAATGTTTCCCCTTAAACCACTCAAGTGTTGCTTTAGCAGTATGCTTATGGTCATTGTCCTGCTGGAAGGTGAACCTCCGTCCCAGTCTCAAATCTCTGGAAGACTGAAACAGGTTTCCCTCAAGAATCTCCCTGTATTTAGCGCCATCCATCATTCCTTCAATTCTGACCAGTTTCCCAGTCCCTGTCGATGAAAAACATCCCCACAGTGAAGCATGGTAGTGGCAGCATCATGCTGTGGGGATGTTTTTCATGGTGTTCTGATCAGTTTTTCATGGTACTCTGGTCAGATGAGAGGTGTTGGGTTTGCACCAGACATAGCGTTTTCCTTGATGGCCAAAAACCTCAATTTTAGTCTCATCTGACCAGAGTACTTTCTTTCATATGTTTGGGGAGTCTCCCACATGCTTTTGGCGAACACCAAATGTGTTTGCTTATTTTTTTCTTTAAGCAATGGCTTTTTTCTGGCCACTCTTCCGTAAAGCCCAGCTCTGTGGAGTGTACGGCTTAAAGTGGTCCTATGGACAGATACTCCAATCTCCGCTGTGGAGCTTTGCAGCTCCTTCAGGGTTATCTTTGTTCTCTTTGTTGCCTCTCTGATTATGCCCTCCTTGCCTGGTCCGTGAGTTTTGGTGGGCAGCCCTCTCTTGGCAGGTTTGTTGTGGTGCCATGTTCTTTCAATTTTTTTTATAATGGATTTAATGGTGCTCCTGATGTTTCAAAGTTTCGGATTATTTTTTTTAACCCAACCTGATCTATACTTCTCCACAACTTTGTCCCTGACCTGTTTGGAGAGCTCCTTGGTCTTCATGGTGCCGCTTGCTTGGTGGTGCCCCTTGCTTAGGGTGTGTGCAGACTCTGGGGCCTTTCAGAACAGTGTATATATACTGAGATCATGTGACAGATCATGTGACACTTAGATTGCACACAGGTGGACTTATTCAACTAATGATGTGACTTCTGAAGGTAATTGGTTGCACCAATCTTATTTAGGGGCTTCATAGCAAAGGGGTGTCATAATTTAACTGGATTTGAACCAAATGCAGACACTACACCGAGCCAGAGAAGGTTTACAGGTTTATTTACAAAGTTCAATTTGTCCAGTTTCCAATAATAGGGAAGAGCAAGTCCAGGTTTACAGGAGGGTAACAGATCCAGGTTCAGAGCAGGTGTGGTACCGTGATGCCTAGTGTCCGTGGTGAGTCCAAAAGGAGGTGTAGTGGAACAGATGGTGGTGCATATGAAGCGGAGCGAATCGGTCATATATGGCACATGATCTACGATGAGTTGCAGTTGACCGCGTCTTAAGGCTGAGGTTATATGTGATAAGTGCAGCTTTCACTCTGCAATCAAGGAAGCAGAGGCAGAGAGAAGAGGCTACCTAGCGCAGTAGGCCCAACAGGGGGAATATACATGCAATTGCACCACTTTTTCCGTTATTTATTTTTATTTTTTTTTTGAAATAAGGTTATTTTTTTTCATTTCACTTGCACCCAATTTGGGACAATTTGTGTATGTCCATTTCATGAAATCCAAATAAAAATCAATTTAAATTACAGGTTTTAATGCAACAAAATAGGAAAAAAGCTAAGGGGGATGAATACTTTTGCAAGGCACTGTAGTGCTTTTTATTAAACACAATTAATCATGTATTATAATAAAGGTAAATTCGGGGACTGTGTGTATTTTAACCTCTTAAGGATCTGACCCTTTTTTCAAATTTTCGCCTAAAATGACATACCCAAATCTAACTGCCTGTAGCTCAGGACTTGAAGCAAGGATATGCATATTCATTTACATTTACATTTTAGTCATTTAGCAGACGATCTTATCCAGAGCAACTTACAGTTAGTGAATACATATTTTTTTATACTGGCCCCCCGTGGGAACCAAACCCACAACCCTGGCGTTGCAAACGCCATGCTCTATCAACTGAGCTACATCCCAGTTTGAAGTTTGTGAAAATGTGAAATTAATGTAGGAGAATATAAGACATTAGATCTGGTAAAAGATAATACAAAAAAAAAAAGCATACGTTTTATATTTTTGTTTTTGTTCCATCATCTTTGGAATGCAAGAGGAAGGCCACAATATAATATTGAAGTTTAGGCGCAATTTAGATTTTGGCAGCTAGATGGCAGCAGTGTGTGTGCAAAGTTTCCGATTGATCCAGTGAAGCATTGCAATACTGGACTATTTTGTATGAAGTCTGCCCAAATGTGCCGAATTGGTCAATTTATACATTTTCAAGTACATAACTATAGAGAACATACAAAAATGATATGGTAATGCAAAATGTAAGTTTACACACTCCCATGAATGTCATACATGATGGATCATTAGCTTATACACTAACTTTCACACATCTAGATGGCCGGGCGGGGTGGGTGTGGAGCCAGAGACAGCAGGGGTTCAAACTGTCGAACCCAGTTCCTACATTTGAAAATAAAAATTGATTTTATCAAACAAAACTATGCTACATTTTTATCTCTGGGACCCTTAGGATGACAAATCAGAGCAAGATTACTGAATGTAAGTACATTATTTACCTTCAGAGTTGAAAGTATCAAACCAGTTGCCGTGATAAGTATTTTATTTTTGTGCACTCTCCTCAAACAATAGCATGGTATGTTTTCACTGTAATAGCTACTGTAAATTGGACATTGCAGTTGGATTAACAAGAATTTAAGCTTTCTACCCATATAAGACATGTCTATGTCCTGGAAAGTTTGCTGTTACATACAACAGTCATGCTAATCACATTAGCGCACGCTAGCTCCCGTGCACAGGACACCGATCCCGTAGAGGTTAATTGTTTTATCAATGTTATTTCGCTTCTGAATCTGTCTTTTCAGCCCAGCAAGTGAGCTTATGAGCTGTAGTAACACGTGACTAGTCTCTCTCTCCTTCTCTCTCTCTCTCTGTTTTATTCTATTGAATTATATGTAGCCTAATATTTAAACACTTAGCTAAGTGGGCAGGGGGGAACACGAGTGGCACAGTGGTCTAAGGCATTGCATCGCAGTGCTAGCTGTGCCACTAGATCCTGGTTTCAAATCCAGGCTCTGTTGTAGCCGGCCGTGACCGGGAGACCCATGGGCCGGCGCACAATTGTCCAGGGTAGGGGAGGGAATGGCCGGCAGGGATGTAGAGCATGGTGTTTGCAACGCCAGGGTTGTGGGTTTGATTCCCACGGGGGGCCAGTATGAAAAAAAAATAAGTAAAAAATATTATGTATGCACTCACTAACTGTAAGTCGCTCTGGATAAGAGCGTCTGCTAAATGACTGAAATGTAAATGTTGACACGCACTAATTTGAAATATGTAGTTAGGCTGTTATAAGATATGAAATAAGCCAATGGTCACCTATAAGGCATTAATTCAGTGATTTCCTTCTTTGTCTAATTGTCGGTAATAAACCATTTATAAACTGTGTTCACCATTTATTAATCATTATGCCACATTAATGAACCCTTTACTAATAATTAGTAAAGTATTTTTCCAGTCTCTAATCTTAAAGTGAGTGCTATTTATACTTTATGAAAAACTTTATAAATGTTTTGAGTGACCAGTGTAATTTGTCACAAAAAAAATGGGCATGCCATTGGTGGACATTCCTGCAGTACCTGGTAATAGAGCAAGCACACAACACTGGATGTTTAAGGAACAGTGCATTTGGAAAGTATTCAGACCCCTCGACTTTTTCCACATGCTGTTACGTTACAGCCTTATTCTAAAATTGATTACATTTTTTTCCCCCCCTCGTCAATCTACACACAGTACCCCATAATGACAAAGCAAAAACAGGTTTTTAGACATTTTAGCAAAGTTATTACAAATAAAAATATGAAATATAACATTTACATAAGTATTCAGACCCTTTACTCAGTACTTTGTTGAATCACCTTTGGCAGCGATCACAGCCTCGAGTCTTCTTGGGTATGACGCTACAAGCTTAGCACACCTGTATTTGGGGAGTTACTCCCATTCTTCTCTGCATATCTTCTCAAGCTCTGTCAGGTTGGATGGGGAGTGTCACTGCACAGCTATTTTCAGGTCTCTCCAGAGATGTTCGATCAGGTTCAAGTTCGAGCTCTGGCTGGGCCACTCAAGGACATTCAGAGACTTGTCCCAAAGCCACTCCTGTGTTGTCTTGGCTATGTGCTTAAGGTCGTTGACCTGTTGGAAGGTGAACCTTCGCCCCACTCTGAGGTCCTGAGCACTGTGGAGCAGGTTTTCATCAAGGATCTCTCTGTACTTTGCTCCGTTCATCTTTCCCTCGATCCTGACTAGTCTCCCAGTCCCTGCCGCAGAAAAACATCCCCACAGCATGATGCTGCCACCACCATGCTTCACCGTAGGGATGGTGTCAGGTTTCCTCCAGACGTGAAGCTTGGCATTCAGGCCAAAGAGTTCAATCTTGGTTTCATCAGACCAGGGAATCTTGTTTCTCATGGTCTGAGAGTTTTTAGGTGCCTTTTGGCAAACTCCAAGCGGGCTGTCATGTGCCTTTTACTGAGGAGTGGCTTCCGTCTGGCCACTCTACCATAAAGGTCTGATTGGTGGAGTGCTGCAGAGATGGTTGTCCTTCTGGAAGATTCTCCCATCTCCACAGAGGAACTGTAAAGCTCCTTCAGAGTGACCATCGGGTTCTTGGTCACCTCCCTGACCAAGGCCCTTCCCTCAATTGCTCATTTTGGCCAGATGGCCAGCTTTAGGAAGAGTCTTGGTGGTTCCAAACTTTTTCCATTTAAGAATGATGGAGGCCACTCTG